GAGAGAGAGAGAGAGAGAGAGAGAGAGAGAGAGAGAGAGAGAGACTAACTTGGTAACAATATTCTGTTTTTTTTTTTCTTTAATCTCACATCTACGGGGGAGCAGGTGGCAGCTGTTTCCATGATTTTCAGCCACTCCTGGGAAAGAAGTTACTGGAGGTAGACACTACTTCTGTCCAGTTCCGATTTTTCATTTTTGCCTTCTGGAAGGAACGTACAAAAGTGAGGGTCAACAACAAAAGTCCGAAAAGTTCGGCGAAAACACAATACCTGGCAAACTTCTGTCGCAAATATTTCGTTTTCCAAATCCAAAAGCTGAGATCAACACGAACAGAGCAAAACGTCTTTCAAGTTTCAAGTCTTTTTTTTTTTTAAATCAATTGTACGGGCGGTGGCCACAATGGCGATGCACGTCGTCGCAAAGATCTGCTGCACATCAGACACAGCTCTGCCACTGCTTCATATGCGGCAATGTCTACATAATCACTCAAGTGACGTGTTCGAAAAGGCCCTCGCTTCTTCAGGAAGACGATACCATGTGTTCCCACCGAGAGGAAGGAAACAGGCCTCAAGTTCTCTGCAGCTTGCAATGGCCACAGCAAAAGTACGGCATGTCGACGCACGCACAGAACGTTGCACCTCCCTTAAAATCATTGTGCTGCCGCTAACCGTGGTGAAAGCTGCAAAAGCGCAGAGCAGACTCGCATTCGGCAGACGACGAACATTTGTAACAAACATAAAGTGCGATGCAATGTGTGACAAAAGACGGAGTCGAGGACCGATGCAACGAACCACAGACCCACGGATGCCGCATACATTGCAAACGTCCTTTCCGCCAGGTGCTTTTCTTCATCCGAAACAACTGCTTTCGCTTCAAGCTGTTGTTTCTGATACCATGTATGAATCACCGGAGCTAGCGAGCAAGCAGAAGGTCGAGGAGCTGATCGAATTTCTGAAGGAGGATTCGAAACATCTGTTCGACGACCAGGGCATCGATCGTTCGCGATACGAGGAGAGCATTTCTTTTGTCGATCCGATAACCCGGTACAGCTCTTTATCAGGATATCTTTTCAACATCGCCGTGCTGCGAAGGTTGTTCAACCCCGATCTTGTCGTCTTGGGTTTCGGCCAGACCGACGAGTGGGAGATCACCGCGAGATGGACGATGAAAATGACATTCGCTTTGCTTCCTTGGAGACCAGTTGTCGTCTTCACCGGGAGGTCGATATACAACATCAACCCCGTTTCCGGAAAGTTCTGCGGTCACAGGGATGTCTGGGACTCGATCAGCAACCAGGAGTACTTTTCGATCGAAGGCGTCCAAGATGTAGTTGGGCAGATGTTGAAGATTTACCTCATTCCCGAGGCGAAGGCGGCGGCTTCTTACATGGTCGTAAAGAGAGCAGCGAAGTACGAGGTGAGGGAGTACGCTCCGACAGTTATGCTGGAAGGGGTACTTGCTGCCGGGGAGGGGATCGCTGGGAGCCAGGGGTACCAGAGTATCCGCGACTACTTTCAAGGAGTAAACCAAAGTGGCATGAAGTTCGAACCCACAGTGCCGATATTATCGTTTCGAAAGACGAATAGTATTGCTGCGGCCGCCGCCGAAGGAGCAAATTACTCTTCCAACACCATTGTTCAAGTCCCACTGAGTGGCAAACAGCAGCAATCGGAGACGTTTCCGGAGGCAACAAGTGTAGGTAGCAGATTGGTTGACGGACAAGGAGGCGTTTATGCGGTCCTCGAGTTCAGTGGCGCAGCCACAGATGGGCTGTTTTACCAGAAGGAGACAGAATTGCGTCAAGCGCTGTTGAAGGATCGTCTCTCTCCTCTGGACCGGGCCATCCTTGCAAGATACTATGATCCGGACTCTGTTCCCTTCCTTGCTAAGAATGAGGTCCTAATCCCTCTGGAAAATTTTGCACTGAATGTTCAAAGCTAAACTGATGCCAAAAAATTGAAGCATTTTCAACCCTCTCTCTCTCTCTCTCTCTCTCTCTCTCTCTCTCTCTCTCTCACACACACACACACACACACACACACACACAC